TAGAGAATATTTATTAAGTTATAAGTGATAATCGAAATAATCATGTACGTATTTCAATCCTGCGTTAAGGAGAATTTTTTTCTCATATCCTGATTCATAGTTGAAGATATAACATGAACGATGTTAACGGTAAAACATTATCCACGTGAACATTTATAATTAATATATCTCACGTCGCATTTTCACCGGTTAATAACCTCCTTGCCTACAGGATACGTGTCCGTACGACCTCGTGTTCGACGTTACCGATATTGTTTATTTTAAGTTAATGATAATAATATTGCAGTACCTATTAAAATAATACTTATAATGAATACCTTGTCAGGACAAGGGCAGTTCTAGATCACCGAACAATATCGTTGAGTCGAATAAAAGAGGCCGACTTGCCCTCAGACAAACGACGTCGTATTGTCCCTCGTAATTTTCAACTGAGGGAAAGTATCGGAGCCGCGGCGATCGACATGCTCTCTTCACGAGCTCTCGGCTCGGACTGAACGTTGCGAACTTGCGGATAACTTTTCTATCGAAAGACTGGATGAGCTTCGGTCGTGAATCAATTCCGCCTCTGGTTCTTATTTATTTTCATTCACTAATAAAACTTGCTAATAATTCCCATTTTGGCTCTCAGAACGATGGAAGCATTAATTTTTAATTCTTATGAAAATTCCCCAACATACGACACTACGGAAGGAGTCAAGTGCTCAAAATTGTGATTTGTCTTACGGTTTTATTAAATCAGCTCGTTATCACTATCTCAGCCTTGCACCTCAAGTCAGTATGTGTCATACGCGGCATACGCCATTGTCCACATTCCGAACCATGTGAGTCGTAGGACTCACATGGCCGGAATATTTTGGGCCGGAATATTTTGTATTCTCTGGTGTTATGACCCCTAAATTGTTCACCAGTAAAAATTGGCATTATTAGATGTATAATATTGTATTTTTAAGTAAAAACTTTTTCTTTGTCGATCTAGTTTACAAGTTAAAAGTAAAGGAAACAAACTCTCGTGCAACTCCATTTTCAAAACTTCGTTATCTGCCCCGAAATTGCGGTAACTATGAGCGGCTCGCTCGGAACAGTTTTATTGCTGTGATATGTTTTTAGTAGTATCTTGTTTTAATCAGTGTAATGTTGATTTTGCCTTTGTTAAGTTTATTATTTAGTGACCTACTGTCTGAAGTTTTCATATTAATATGAATTTGTTAACATTGCGTTTTTCCTGTCTTTGTTCCATTATCATTTAATGAAGTCATATACCACCTTTCTCGCCTGTCTCTCCTGTCCTTTCTCGACGTAAATAGAACAGAGATTGGAGCAGGGATGTGCTGGTTCGACCCCAGCTCTGTGCGCCAGTTTCTGGTCAGAATCGGCGAGGAGGCCGGGCTGTTAATAAGCACAACAGAATTGGAGCAGCGAATTGCGTTTTCGAGGCCGCAATAAGTTGTAAATATTCTACGATGTTAAAAAAACTGCGACAGGCCTACGGCCTAATGAACGCTGAAACCGCTATTATTATTATTATTATTATTATTATTTGAATATCGGAGGATTTCACAGTAGGTCTGTTTTGACTCTCGATAAGAAGCTTGTACGAATCTCAAGGTGAAGGAAAGTAGGATGGCTGTCGATTCTCCTTACTTGAAAACTAAGTACACATTATACAGCGGTCAACTCCTAACGCAATTCATGAAGGCCTAAGACGAAGGAACGGTCTGTGCAGGGCTTGTTAGCTGTCGCTCAAAGCAGCGCGATCAGGGAGGCCCACTGCCCCCGCACCCACATCAGCTCTGATTACGATAACTATTAATGGATGTACTTGCAGGGCATACCTTCTGGTGACTCATCAATTCAATACCTTTAGAGCAATGATAGTTACGTCATCGAGGAACCCATAATGAAGGTAAAATTATGGTACGCTGTGAACTGAAATTTTAATTATACTAGGAGAAAACGAACAATGCATTCAATTCTAAACAAGCAACACTCGAAGGTAGGTCGATCAGTTTACAATAATCAAACAGATCAAAACTAGAGACTATAGATGAATTATCAATTGGAAGCATTGTAATATTTTAACGTAATATGTCATGTATCAAGCTTAGTGGGTTGAACTGAATTCAAAATTATTAATGCAAAATTTCCAATGAATTATTCGTAAACTGAAAAAAATTGCTAGCTGATAATCCATTAATCAAAGTTTGATCATCCAACCATTTTGATGACAAATTAGGCGATTCTCTCTGTCAACATCTGGTATGGATCCCTGCTGCCAAATATTTAGAAGAATATATAATGGCCACATATCATTGGTTCACTCACTAATGCTTTCAAGTCTCCTCAAAAATTATGAGCTCTTAAATGTATGCACGAAAAGTTCTTGTTGAAGGATTTTAGAAGCTGAGCTACATATGCTCAAGACACTACACTATTTAATGTCAGATATTCTCTAATCTTAGCTTCTACTTTGACCTTTGATGTCAACATGAGAGTGCCTCTACAGTCAATACCACTTTACTTTGCCACAACAAATATATCGCCGGCGTTCAAAAGAAACAATCGATTTTGTTAGGAAATCTGGGCCACAACTTTCTAGCGCGATCGGAAATGCTTCTTAGTTGTCATGAGGCAATCGAACCTTAAAAACTGTAACTCCGACCAGTATTATACGGTTTCTTTGGACGAGCCCGTGATTTAAGTGGAGTAGCTGCTTAGTGGCGATCGACTTATGTGTCATTAACAGTAGTGTCATTCGAATCTAACTCACTGTCACATTCGCTGTATTGACTGTAACTTGCCTCGCTATTTTCTGCAATCCTTGGCAGTTAACCAACCACCAACGACTGCATCAAAATTCTCATCCACCGACAAAATTACTCCTGGTTTACCTCTCACATCAGCAGCACCAGTACGAGCACAAAGTTGCTACTATTGAGCAACCTCTCTGACAGCGCCACTCCAGTGCCGCTTTCCCGGCTATGTTCATTGTTCACCTCAAGCGCGGCTGAACCGGAAAAGATCGTTACTGGTCTGGGCTCTACGTTGTAACTGGGATTGGACATGCATGGGGGGTTGTTCGTAGTTCGAACTGTCAGGTACGCGCAAAAGTTTTTAATAATGATAAAATTTGCGCCTCTCAGAAAATGGATGATGACTTATTAAGCCTAAGTACGATATGAACTGAAAATTTTTAAAAATTGTAGCTCTGCCCAAGCTTGAATAGAAAGTGGACCAAGATTTTATATTCGAGCGGCACATCGGCCTATCGTGTTCCCATTCCGATTATACCTATTGACGTTAAAAGAAGAGCAACTCTGTCAATCATGGTGAACGAATAGATGCTCATACATTCTATTGATAGTTAGAAACATTTCAGTTGGTCAATTTTATACAATAATTGCGTTGCATTCTCAAAGAGCTGCATCAAAGCCTACAGAACGATTTGATAAAAGCAGTTACGAAAAGCCGCAACGCTTCTTATTCCGAATTGGCAGTGGTTTACCGTCAGAAAAAGGTGAAGTTTTTAAAGGACGCGCAAAAATATATAGCTCTTTAAAACATAAAAAAATTTGAAGAATGTCAATGATTAACAAGTTTTCTCGCAACTTTGCGTAATCACTCAATGGAACACATATGAGAAAGTAAATGAAGCTAGCTTATCATTAATATGATGGGTATAGAAATAAATTTCATTGTCTTCTCCACCAACTCTGAAGGTCTCATTTATATGAGCAATTTACGTGTTCTGCAGACACCTCGTGGTGCAGGGGTTACAATTTCTCCCTTGATGATCTCAAATCTGAAGATGACGTTACTCCACTTGAGGTAAAAGTACTAAGGATATGGAGACTGTGCTTATCATTCAGCAGTGAGTATATTTAACAGGCGATACGCAGAAAAAGCATGCATGCAGGGGTCCAGAGCGAAAGCTTGTTGGCCGATCCGCAGCCCGTTACGCTATTCGAAGTCCCATTTTGATACGCACGCAGTTTTGACACTCAATAATCTAAAAGAAAGTCAATGATTAACAAGATTTCTCGCAACTTTGCGTAATCACTCAATGGAACACAGATGAAAAACTAAATGAAGCCAGCTTATCATTAATGTGATGGGTATAAAAATAAATTTCATTGTCTTTCCCACAAACTCTGAATGTCACAATTATGAGCAATTTACGTGTTCTGCAGACACCTCGGTGTGCGGGGATTACAATTTCTCCCTTGATGATCTCAAATCCGAAGATGACGCGACTCCATTTGAGGTAAAAGTACTAAAGATAAGGGGACTGTGCTTATCAGTCAGCAGTGTGTATATTTAACAGGCGATATGCAGAAAAAGCATGGCGGGGGTCCAGAGCGAAAGCTTGTTGGCCGATCCGCAGCCCGTTACGCTATTCGAAGTCCCATTTTGATACGCACGCAGTTTTGACACTCAATAATCCCGTGCACCCCCGAGTTTTGTAACATAAACTGTATATTGTAATGTAGCAAGGAATATGCAACCCAGAATGTTGCATGTTAGAATGCATATTGTAATGTGGCATCGAGCCACGAGGCAGCTCATGAGTAATAAATATAACGCTGGCACAACTCACTGACACCGTACAATTTAGAATGATCATGTCGGGGTACAAGTTCAGCTGAACACACTCAGATTGTGATCATTTGCGATCTAAATTCATCAGTCACATTGTCAGCTTTGACGTCTTTGCAAATATGGAGCATCTGATTTAGATTTCGCCACTTCACCTGAATCAACGCTGAGCACGGACTCTTATTGCATGGACGTGTGATGAAAAAAATTTGTTATAACTCAAATTGAGGTTCTTCCAGCGAGTAACTTTCCATGACAAAAAATACAAAATTTAAACATGATTGCAACTTCTTTGATTATATTTCATTTTTATTTTATATACTTTTACTTTTTTCAACGGAGTTTAAATTTTCCAAACAAACAGTTAAATCTAAATATATTTAATCGATTAACGCAACATTGACCACCTCATCGACTCGGCCTGTAGCGACTTTAATGATGATGAAAGCCCCCTGGTCAGTGATATGTTCAACAGGCGCTCCCTGAGGCAGGTACGTTGGTCGAGCCAGACGCGCTTGGTGGTAGCGTTACCGATGTCGGTCATGCCGTGGTCGCTCACTATGACGATGTTCACGGGGAAAATCTGTTGTCATTGCAGTCAATACAAATACACAGACTTATCTCATGGGCTACCCCTCGTAATTTTAAACTGTTTTTAAAATGTATTTCGATATTTGCTTAGTGAAAAATTTGTAGGAAAAATTTTTCATTCCTGAAAATGCGTTTTTGGGACCATTACTAAATTAATGCCAAAATTCGTGTTATCTCATATATAAAAAATCGAGAAAAATTTCCTTATTAGTTTATTACGATTGACACTTTAACACAATTCAATCGTCTAACAGGCTAATGTGGTGAGAAAGTCTTACCAAGGTAGAAATTCAAAAAAAAATATTTTTGACAATATTGAAGGCCACGACAAAAGGCGCAAAAATCTTCGTTGTTTCAGGGACCACACAGAGTAACAATCTTTCAATTAGTCAAAAAATAAACAATGAGCTAATAATTAAATGCCATTTTCTCATGCCAGCGATAAAAATCCTGAAACTTCTCTAGTTGAAACACCGAAAATTATATTCTCGCGAGAAGAAAAAATATGACAAGGGCTACAACAGTGGTTCTAGAAACCTAGGACGTCTCGGGCAAATTTACGGCCGGACTCATGGCCGGTCTCAGGACCAATCTCCAAATTCAATTATCAAGTAATATCTCCCAAACTAATGAACGCAGCTCTATGAAACTTGGAACACGTATTCATCAGAACCTAACGGTGATGTTTAGCTCGTAAATTTATTTTAAATTTCACCTTCATTCGTGAGTTACGCCTATATTGCGAAACAGGCTGAAATTCGCAGTGATCAAAGAATTTCTTCCAAACTATTGAACAGATTTGAACGGAATTTTGAATATACATTCCTAACTGCCAATGGGTGATTTTTTAGCTTATAAATTTTTTTTCTATTTTACCTTCGTTTGCGAGTTTTTTTTTATTTCACCGTCATTCCTGGTTTCATACTTCCTTTTATTCGGCCCGTATCGCCGGGTAATTTGTCACTTGAATTCGCGGCGATCAAGAAATGTCTTCTAAACTACAGAACAGATTTCAACGAAACTTTGTAAATAAATACCTATAACCTCTCAACGGTGATGTTCAGATCGTGACAATTTTTCTATTTTACTTTCTTTCGCGAGTTATACAGATATAGGAGGAATGACCGGCTTTTCTACCGACAGGTTTAATCAAGAGCCTTATACGTATAGCCGTAAAACTCGCAAACGAAGGCAAAACGAAAAAATTGTAAACATCACCATTGTTGAGGTTAGGTATTTAAATTCCAAGTTTCGTACAAATCTGTTCAGTAGTTTGGAAAAAAATTCTTGATTACTGCACGTATTGCTAATTTGCACGTATTTAAGCACGTATTGCTGTTTAAATCACGAATGAAGGTGAAATAAAAAAAAACTCGCGAACGAAGGCACGATCGAAAAAATTTGCGCGGGCTAAACATTACCGTTCGGTAGTTAGGACTGTAAATTCAAAATTTCGTTCGAATCTGTTCAGTAATTTGGAAGAAATTACTTGATCACTGTGAATTTCGGCCCGTAATGTCATGTAAGTATGGCAAAAACAAACGATGGCAAAATTCAAACAATTTTCACGAGCAAAACATTATCGTTAAGTCCTAATGAATACGTGTACCAAAATTCATCGAGTTAAGTTAATTAGTTTGAGAGATATTTCTTGATCATTGAATTTGGAAATTGGCCGTGAGACCGGCCACGAGTCCGGCCGTTAATTTGTCCGAGACGTAAACCCAGTTAGTTTGAGAGATATTTCTTGATCATTGAATTTGGAAATTGGCCGTGAGACCGGCCGCGAGTCCGGCCGTTAATTTGTCCGAGACGTAAACCCAGAAGAGGTTTGAGAGATATTTCTTGATCATTGAATTTGGAAATTGGCCGTGAGACCGGCCACGAGTCCGGCCGTTAATTTGTCCGAGACGTAAACCCAGAAGAGGTTAGAAAAAACAGATCTGGGTGCAAAAACCATCGCTGGAAGTCGTGTGTTGCACGTGTTGTGTACAAATCGTCCAACAAACGTTCGAACTTCTGACATCGACTTCGGACTACCGCCCCCCTTATCGCCCCCCAAACGCCCTCTTCTTCCTTACCGCCCCACAAAATCTTTCCACCGCCCCTAGGGGGCGATATCGCCCACTTAGGGAACCACTGATTTAATGCATGCAAATTCACTTCTTTGGTTGGACCCAACATTGCAAAGTCGTCTCTAACGCATTAATTTACCTTGGCCTTATTTCCGGCCTAGAACCTTAACCTTATTAACGTATTTACCAAGTTAGCTGAGTTAGGCCAACCTATAACTAACCTTTGCACATTTTACTTAAACCAAACCTCTGAATGGCATCTATGCCACTTCTAAATGGAGCAATCGGCAATGATTTAGAAGGTTGGTGAATCAATATTTGATCGCAATTAACTATACGACTATATTTGACATAATATTGTTTAATTAAGAAGCCCATTGTATTTTACTGTGATTCAAGAAGTTCTTTTTGTTACGTAACAGTATAATGACGCACATCACACGTCGCCCATTCTGCGGGAACTTTGTCGTACGGAACGCCTCTTCTGTTTGCTGCTGCGTGCTGCCGTATTTAGTTTCGCAAGGTTAATGCTGGGAATCATGCTCACTGTCAAATCATATGCCGATAAATTGAAATACAGAACTTAGTTTATCAGTTAATCATACTTTTTTCTATGGTTGCAGTTGCTCCACTGCTTCTTCAGTTCTGAATTCTTTTGCCTTCGAAAACCTTCGAAGATTTATCCTGTGGATTCTCAAATAAAAATTATCAGCGACTATATTCCTGTGAATTCCTTACACTCTTGTTATTTACTCAAGTTTGTCTTCTGCTTACATCTCATTTCATATTTTTTTCTACCTATTTGTATCACTTCTTCCCATATCCCTCGATTTGCTAGTGAACTGTGCGCAAAAAATGCTCCCAAAGTTACTTCACCATAAGGATCAATGATAGGTGCAGCAGAAATGCGATCAGTCAGATTAATTGAATGAGATGAAACAATTCACGTAGGTACCAACAAACTGTGAGCCAAACTTATCACAGACGGCAATAGATGTAATTGGTTTAATTATTACAGTCTGCTGTAGCACATGTAGGGATGATTGGTTTAATTATTACAGTCTACTGTAGCACACGTAGGTATGATTGGTTTAATTATTAGTCTGCTGTAGCACATGTAGTCAGCGCAGTATAGGCAGGATGAGGCAGCGCAACACAGCTGTAGGGTACAAACGACTGGCAGACGTACGGTAGCAGGGTTGAGCAGCCTGCGTCGTTGAATCCAGTTGGCCAAAGCATAATGCACTGTTCTGCAATAGCCCATTGATCTGGCTGTCCAGGTGCGAATACTGCGTACTTCACAGGTTGATCTGAGAGTAGAAATATATACAAGTATTATATAGATTTGTGAGTAATTTAAAACCATATGTGCACATATAATCATCATAGTTTGTGCACATGATTCAAATAATCAAAATTAAGATATATATCCACTGCAATGTTAATACGCATTTTTAATGAGAAATGACATGGCCAGAATCGGTAAAAAGTTTCTATCTTATTCAGGTTTATGTCCCGAGGAGTATCCTGCTTTCCACCACGCTGGTTTAATATTTTATTACAACAAACTCCATCCATTATTACAACGAAATAGGCCCACAGTTAATCAGCGCCTATCGGCAAAAGACACTCATCCAACAAAGTTATGTGCCTCCGACAGACGAGTGAGGCATCGTACGGAAAATTATATTTCGTGTACTTGTCTTGTTGGTCGCAGCATGGGGGCAATTGGTCAATAGGGCTATTCGATGGGGTCACCGATGGGGCTATTCGATGGGGTCAGTCGATAGGGTTATTTTTTTATAGTTGGGGTTAAGACTTGTGGCGACAAATGCGCCCACCAGCCTGTTCTCTGTCAGAAAGTCGATGGGGCTATTCGATGGGGTCAGTCGATGGGGCTATTCGATGGGGTCAGTCGATGGGGCTATTCGATGGGGTCAGTCGATGGGGCAATTCGATGGGGTCAGTCGATGGGGCAAGTTGAACGCTAACGCGAGTTTTAAATTCAAGAACCATTGTTTGAAGAAGAATTCATAAAGCTCTGTTCAATTCTTTCCCGAAGTTTGTGTAGTGTATCATGAATGAGATAAAATAGAGACGTTATATGTATGTTAATGACGGTATATGGAATCCGCTGCTGGCTGGTGGCTTTACAGTAAGTGGCCAGACATTTCATTCTGGACTGATTCATATAAAATAATTTAAGGATTGTTACTCCGTCTGCCAATTACTGACAGCCTTAAATTAAGGGGAGCGTATGGCCAAAAATTTTGGATTTTGGCTTTTCCGCTTTTTAGTGTCATCTTGAAGCTGACATTCTGAACTATTCAACGCTACCAAAACCATCTCTGTACGTTTATTTATGCGTTCACGACAGACCGCGAAGGGGTAAGGGGTAGTTCTTAAACATTTAAGATGGGGAATAATTGCCGCAGTGCACTTTAAATAGTTACTCTTCACACACTAAATAGTTAGTCCTCCAACAACCCTGCTGCAGTCGTGTGGGATGATTCTCGCGCCGTCGTTCGCACCATCCTTGTCAGAAATTGAGCTCTAGTATCGTCAAGTCTTGCCTCCTTGCAGCCTTGATTGCCGACTTCAAGGCCCCCGGGACTTTGTCGGGCTCTATACTGAACAATCACCCATATTGTCACTGGAAAACTATCTCCTCCTACAGTTTTTAAGCTACAGCAACGAGAGATTTACCATTCGATAGAAAATAAAAGATCTAGAGATTGGTCGTAGATACTTTTGCTGGATTGGAAAAAAATCGCATGTACTGATTTGCTTTGATGTGTACGGATTGAAATTATGACTTAAATTCACATTCTAGAGTACATAACACAAGAATAAGATACATAGGTTTATGAGACTGATAAAGATTACCCAAAAATTTGTGTAAAATTTTTATGGGGCAGAAAATATACAAAAATTCAAATTATACCAGTAATCGGCATTCATGATCTAAAAAATAGGCACTCCGTCACTCTAATTATTTTTAAAATCACTTTTAAATTGTCGTTAAAATTTATATATTTAATTACGGATTGGATTCTCATACATGACTAGCATGACGACGTACACGTATAGAAATAAAACACGTGTCCAAATGAAATACGTATCGAAATAAAATAAGTGTCGGAGTAAAACACGTGTTGAAATAAAACAAGTGTTGAAATAAAACAAGTGGCGAAATAAAACAAATTTCAAAATAAAACAAGGGTCTAAATAAAACACGTGTCCAAATAAAACAGCTTCTGTAAAGAAATAAACACTCGATATTTGGCATTCAGCCAACAATAGATTCGTAAATGACGTTACTCTGAAATTCCATCAAGTTGATATATGTCTTGGAGCCAGGAAGTCATGATTCGGAGTCGAATCGCACATTGAATACAACCGTATTAAACAATGACTGGATGGTGTCTCTCAGGATACACAAGAAAAATATTTAAGTCACATGTTAGTTACAATAATATCTGAGCATATAGTCAATTCTACTTAACCTCGACTGCACAAATGCCATATATAGTGATCACAGCCATTGATCTAAAATCTGAATGATGAACTTATTTGAACCGCAATGAAAAATTTCTCATACTTCTGGTGCGTGCCTGATTGTTTGAAATATTAATATATAACCAGTAAGCGCCGAGTTTCCAGAGCATCAATCGACAATTTCAGTTATTGAGTTGAATTTCCATCGAATAATTAATTTGGCAAAAACTGAAGAATTGCATTGTGGATTACTTCTCAATGATTGCAATGCAGTACCACAAACGCGCGCTCTGCTAGCACATTTTGCCGTATAACAAAATGTCTGTATTTCTGGACAA